CCCGGTCAAGGTAGGAGGACAGGTGTCGTTCGGTCCATGTACAGCAGAATCCGCAAAGTCGACCACACACGCCTCGTATTAGACAAGATCCAGGGACATGTCCCAGCCAAAGCCACAGTTATTTTTAACACACACGCATATACGATTAACCCTATGTCAGAAGCATTTCATCGTTATTGGGCACAATTTTGGCAGAGAGATTCAACGCATGATCAGGATTCAGATGAACCTTGGTCAGATTTGTTTCAAAGGCTGGATAACATTATCCCGACGCAAGACACGCTTGACATTAAGTTTGATTGCCCCCATTTATTATGGGAATCAATACATAAACTTAAGCCATACAAGGCCATTGGAGAAGATGGATGGCATGCAGAAGAGCTTCAAGCGCTTACGTGGGACATGGTAGTAGATCTATCAAGCCTTTTGTCCCGCACATGGGCGCATGGACACACAACACAACGCATGCAAGCCAGAACGCTATTGTTCGCTAAAAGCCAAGGCCGGAAAGCATTTCAGACGGGAGACCCATAACAATTTTAGGTTATTTAGCACGCCTCACGTCCAAACTAATCGCCGATCAAGTACTCAAGCAGTGGACCACGCAATGGCCGCCAGAAATTAGTGGGGGCCTCCCACATCGGTCAGCTAGAGACTTGAGTCTTGTACAGATGCTGCAAATCGAGGAGGCTCGTACTCAACGGACGGCGTGGTGTGGATGGACTATGGACCTCGTTAAAGCATTCAACTTAATTCCACGTAGAGTAGTCCGCTATGCATTCAACCTGCTCGGAATTCCATACTATGTTGGTGATTTCTGGTTTAAATCCTTACGCAGACTGACCAGGGTCCTGCAATGCGGCCATGCCATTGGTCCGGCAGCAATCTCCACCACCGGACTTCCCGAAGGGGACTCCATGTCAGTTGTTGGAATGCTAGCACTCAGCTATATATTTCATCATGTAATCAAGACACCGCAAGTACACCCGTTCACCTATGCTGATAATTGGTCATTTATGTCGACGTCAGAAAGAGAGACATTCAAAGCGATGGTCAAGATCCTTAATTTGGTCCATGATATGCGTATGAAAATAGATATGGATAAATCATGGGGGTGGGCCACATCAAAGCCCCTTAAACAATTTTGGAATGAAGCATCACAGATCATGTGCCAGCCAGAATTCCAGTTTAAGATTAAAAATCACGTCCAGGACTTGGGATGTATGATCTCGTATAACAATCAAGTTGTTCTTGGGCCTTTGAGAGATAAAATAGACAATGCGATAGCCAAGTGCAATAGGCTCAGAAAGCTGAATTTAGTTATGGAAGAACGAGCAGAGAAGATCCAGCCACCTTCTACGGAGCCCTGGGCATGACCATCGGAGAAAAGCATTTCACCAATTTGCGAAGGGCAGCCACTACGGTGTTAGTAGGCGATCATAAACAAGCATCCAGCCACATCGCCCTCCACTATTTGTCATCACGAATCCAAGATCCCATGCTTTATGTTGTGTCAGACATACTGACCACACTCCGACGCTTGTTCGTCTATCACCCATGTTTAGCGCAACGTTTTGTCACCGCAGTCCGTCATTTCAATGGACAAGTGTGTGGCCCTGCTACAGCCCTGGCCTCATACTTATGTCGACTGGGATGGGAACTGACCCCCAACGCCACGCTCATAGGCCCGGGTGGCCTACGCATTGGCATACAGTGTTCCACGAGCAAAACCATTAAAAAAGAACTCCGTATAGCCTGGGATTGGCATTGCCATAATGAGATAGCACACCGTAAAGGTGTGACACCACTGCCTTTCGACTCATGGACAGCCAATAAAATCCTTCGACAATTTTCAGACAAACAACGTAGAATTTTAGCATTATCCTTGACAGCAGGATGGCAATCTAACGGAGTAATTTCCCAATGGAGTGCACATCAGACACCTAATTGCCCATTTTGTGATCAATATGACACCCACAAGCATTTCATCCTAGAGTGCCCGTGTTTCAATCATATTCGAGAACTGCACCAAAAGGCCGTCCATCACCTCATGGCCAATACTTATTTGTGTTGGTTTCCTTTGCCAATACACTCCTCAGAACTGGAGCTGATTCGCCAAGCCATGCACTCTCGTCATCACACAATTCACATCAACAGCCAACTAGAATTTGGTACCGACGACACCATATATACAGACGGCTCCTGTCAAAACCCACGGAGCCCGTTTGTTGCCCGCGCCGCCTGGGCGGTTATACACCGCACACGGTGCCGGAATACTCCACACAAAGACTACGACTATAAAGTGTTAGCATCCGGACATTGCCCTGGTTTGCAGACCATAAACCGCGCAGAACTCTATGCCATGCTTATCGCAGCTGAGCAAGCCAGAGCGTCTAACGACCAATCACAGGTGTCCTTTTACACAGACTCCCAGTTTGTAGTCAATGTACTAACACATATTGAAGCCAACACGATCCATGAATCACCACACAAACGTGATCATTGGGATTTGATCGTAAGATTGTGCCAGGCATGGGACCAGTCCCGGTTCCATGTTTTCAAAATTAAGTCCCATTTGCATCTCGAGAACGCACATTCGACAGTAGAAGCATACCATATACTAGGTAATACACTTGCTGATGAGGCCGCAGTGCGAACATGTACTGCCGACCTACCAGACTTCCTCGCAGTATGTGAGCAAGTCCAAAAACATTATGAAAGCCAGCACACCGAACTCACAGCTATTTACAAATATTTACTTGACCTTTCTTGTGAACGAATGAATAAACTTGAGGATAAAGCCCCGCATAGTGCCCACCGGCAAGCGGAGACAGCAGAAACGAACACTGTGGCACCAGGGGCAGAACAAAATGCTGAACAGCACCCAGCATCCATACTTACACACTCATTTTCAGAACAGGTTGCATTTTTGCGTGATTGGCCGGCCGCACGAAGCTTCTTTGTGATGCCTGACGAACCACATAGGGTAGTTTTTTGGTCGTGCCCTTGGGGTTGCAATTATGCACGATTGGTGTGGAGGTATTGTTGCATGCTTCAATGGCCTGCCGAATCAGCAGCACCTGTGCCCAAAGATCCGGGCATTTCATGGACAGAACTCACTGTGTCATTTATGCTGTGGGCAGGGCGCTTGCTGCCAATCCGGGTCACGAATAAAAACTCGACCGAAATTCTTGATTACCATGATCCAAAGACAACACTGCAGCCCACCAAACACAAGTCGGTTCGTGTTTTAGCAGAAACGTTCAGACTGATAGTTAAACACATCCAAACATTCTCACGAACCAAAATCCTTCCCACATATAAATTGCAAGGGGCATCTAGCTTGACAAGATTAGGATTCTCCAGATATCATGAATCAGGCATTTCCCGACGCCCGGTGCTCCCGAATTCGCAGGAAACATACAGATATTTACAGGACCTAGTACTCACCATTTCTCACAACCCGCCATTTCACAATGAGATTCTGCCTCTCACAATTTCACTAAAAGAAAATTCACCACCGTGGCCAGAATGGCCCGAAATTGCCATTCATAAACGAGAGAAGTTCACACAGCACATTCGTTATTACTTGTTCCGAAAGAAAAGCTTCGACCTTGTAACACACCCTGGCCCTAATTAGGTTGATTCTGACCTGGTAATTGCTTTGCACGCCACTCTTGAGACCGCTTTAAAGGACCACACCGATCTTGGATTCGCATACCATTTCGGCCGATGCTCCGGTTCGTAGTGTACAGACACAGGGGTATTTCTGTAGTCCATCGGAGGTCTCACACCACTAGTCCACCACCACCCGTTACAAAATGTAACAAGGGGGTGCGTGGATGCGCGCCTGACAAGACAGTCCGCAAGTCCGTTCATCCATATCGGGGGGTGCTATTAATCAAGAGTCTACATTCAGTTTTATCCACACATCCAACGAGTGGTATATATCATAGCACTCCGTTTTGAACCGATCGACTTCTTGGGAAGTGGGGTAAGAAAAAAAACTCCACGGAGTGGAAAAAATCGGTTCAAGAGTAATTGCGCCCACTCTGCATTCACATAATATTCACTTTGCATTCCAAAAAATTGCAAAAAGTCAAGGAGCAACAAAGCTCGTTCAGGAGCAGTAACTATGTAACTATTTTCACTCTTAAGTGGCAAGTGTTTTTTTTTTACTCCGCTTCCCAAAACATTGAACTAAAATTGTCACTCTCCGAGACCAGGTAGATACCAATCAACTGCGAACTAAATGTTTCTATGTAGTGCAGAACAACTTGTCTGGGGCAAGTGGGACAGCTTGCAGTACCTCACCCCCTGATGTCAGGGAATTCCTTTAGCATTCTGAAACGTCGACCATTTTCTGTGTTCAAAAGAATCGCCTCAGTACAGGTCTTTAATTAATTCTTGGAGCATACCCCTTGTGCGGTTCCGCACACCCCCATTCCCTACGACGCTACGAATATCTATGAATACCTTATTGATCGAAAGCAAGCTCACATGCAGCTATTTTGAGCTTCAGGACGGCAACTTCCAAATTTCCTACAATGTTGATTTGCGGCAAGATTTCAAATTTCTTGGACACAAAATGGCCTGGCAGCAGCTATAATTAGATATGATCAAATCCATCCAAAAAATAAAGAAAAACGATCAAATTATATCAGGTTCGGTGACCGGTGTTTGTCCTCGGAAAGCCCCTAGAAGTTCCTTTCACAACGTTTGCTTGATGCGGGAGGGCTTGAACAGCAGTGCATGCCATACAAAGTGTTGCCTGTTGAGATCTTGCTCCTTGCTCGCACGGTCTGACATGAAGGTCCATGTAGGGCTTGCACCAAGGAGATTCTGAGAGGCTGTCTTGGTGAAAACAAGGCTTTAAGGCAATAAAAGAGCTCATCTCATCCCCAAATCCTCCAACATCCCATTCTGATTTCAGGACCGGTTGGCTTTTTGTGCATGTGTTTCTTTGCCACCAGGACTGGGGGGGGGTCTCTCCAGCGCTCCTCGGAGGCCCACTGCAGCGCCAGGCCGTTCTGCCGCACGGCGCACTCCACAATGCGCCGCTGGGACCTGGGAGGGCGGAGGACCAGCACCACGGTCGCGGTCGAAGGACGGACACTTCGCTGTGTCGATGTGGACTTGGGAACCAGTTTGGCTGGTTTCAAAGCACATCGCGACTCCGCTTGACGCTTCCGGAGTCGGTGTGGACTCCTGAGCTCGGAATCACTCGCCTTGCAAGAAAACAAGTCTCTTTGTCGCCAAAAAACTGCTTGGGTGTGGCTCCATCCTAAGTAGTCTAATCCCGTAGAGAGAGAGAGAGAGAGAGTCATCACATCTCTTTCACCACCCCTTGTAGCCAACTCCACTCTGAGTGTTGGGCTGCTGTGCGGGGGGCAAGACCTTCAACATCCTCCAGCTCCTTTGAAAACTGGCGGCCATGTTAGAAATGTTTCTGTGGCAACAAAACTGAAGGTTCTGACAAACATGCCCGGCAACCGTGGCGCAAGAAACGACAAAACCAGCGGGACGAAGCACTCAGCTTGGCTGTGCCACTCAGGAAGAAGACACCGAAAGCGTCACTCCTCTGCACTGCCTTGAAGCCAAACTCGCTGTCTTCAAGGAGTTCTGCAGAAGCATACAAATAGGCCCTGAGGGCGCCCAAGCTGCATTTGGCACTGATCAAACACATTAGTGTCTTCAAGTCGGCTTATGGGAGAATCCATTTGGGAATTTCCTTCCCTGGTGCTCTGTGTATGAGCCCCTCTTCGCTTTCCACCGCTCACAAGAGTGGAAGGATGCTTTCATAGCTGCCGATCTTGGTCTTGCTGCTTAGGGAGCTACCATTCTCTTCGATTTGGCTTCGCGTAGCTCACTCGTCACTCTCGAGCCTCCAATCCTTCTCGATCGCGTCCAAGACAATGTCCTTGAACGCCGAATGCTTCAGGCTTCTACCTATCCGAAAAGTGCGATAAAGCCACACCAAGATTGTTGCTCCCCCTCCCAAACAGTACTACATTCCCTCCCTGACCCTGAATGGTGGTCTCGAAGGACAGCCCAATTCTGCTTCGAAAGGCATGGAGAATCATGAACTAGATTATAACGTATTTTTCATTCTATAACGACTAATGACCTTTTTTCGAATGGCTCTACACCTCCATATGTTTTTCTTAATACACCGTCTACAGAAAACGAAGGCCTTCCCTTACGTCCCTTACCTGTTGATTGTTTACGGATCTTTGCAGGCCTGACACCAGTTGACCTGGTCAGTGGCCGGGTCACCTGGGCTTGCTTCGACTCCACTCGCCACCATCTGGCCAAATCCGACCGGTTCCGGTCCTCCTGCCCTCGGAGCTTGGCCGAGGCGAACTTCAATGCTTGCGCATCGCTGTGGATCGCTGCGACCACCACCTTTGGCGGTCGCGCCGCGCATCCGCCCGACGGAAGCCCCGGTTGAAGTCAGGAAAGCGGTAGGGGGGAGGGGGTTCAAGTCCAGCGGGTCCACTGACGCACGGAAGTGTATCATGAATCATGAACTATCTGATTGTTCTTGGGGGGTGGCTAGCTTAATTATGATTACTTAATGAATGATGAGCATTGAAATTTCTCAATCATTTGCACTTGGCCCAATTGCTCTTCCAAAGGTCCGAACCCCAGTGCTCTGCTTCGCGCCCTACCTTGGCATTGCTTCGCAACTGCTGGGAGGCAAACTCCAGCGAAAGGCCTTGTTGACGCACGGCTTCCAACATGAATTGAAGATCCTCAGCTCAAAGCCCCAGTTCCAAACACTGACCTGTCCACCTCATAGAAGAATTCTCATCTCTGGGAAGGGTGGCTATGACAATACTAACTCGACTCTAGGACTTGCAACCCCAAAACGAGCCTGGGCAACTTCGGGGCTTGAAGGCTTGAACACGCACGACATCAACATCCTCCAGTGCTGAAACATTGACGGGCAGGCACAACTGGCCCGGCATTGTTATCCCCTCCCAGAACTATTACAACCATCCCGAAGTAGATGGAATATGAGCCAATCCCAAAATATGACCAGATTCCGATTGTTTCTTTGGGTCCTGTTCATCAGCCGCAGCCTGAGAGGCCATCTACAGTGGGCGTCATTTTTCTGACACTGGATGACAGGTAGAGACAGCATCAAAATGACGTTGGTATCCCGGTATCCCCAGCAATCTCCTATTACATTGACCCCTCTTCGACCAAGCCCGTGTAGATCGCATACGTTGTCCACCCGTTTGTCCGAGCTGCGTTCTGCAGCTTCGCCGAGGCCAAGGACAAGGCACGAGCATCCGAGCGCAAAGCTGCGAGCACCACTTCTTTGTCCTGGAATCGCACCATCTAAGCTTTCCACTCCAAGCTTTCCCACTTACGTCCACACATGCGATCAATGCACGTCCTCAAACGTGTAGAAAACATCAATTCAAGTCCTGAAAGTCGGTCTGTTCATCGGTCTGTGAAAATGTCTCACTACGACCAACCCCCCTGGCCCGGTGGTTGGAGCAAGTTCGCAATGTTGTTTGGTTCGTGTCGGCGTGTGTGTTAAAGACATGTATTTAACACTAGAATAGCTAGCTAAATGAATGAACATCATCTTACACTTGAATACACACAAATGCCATTTCCTCTCCTCACGCAAGTGCTTCGAAGCAAAGCGAAGGGCCTGCCAGTCCTGGCAAAGGGCTGCCAAGACCACCTGCGGCAGCCGAGCGGCCGAGAGCTTCACCTGACCTGTTTGAGAGTGATCAGCCGAGTGTCCGCGCCCGGTTTTCGGCCATGTGAAAAGGCAAATGAGCCTCCATGTAGACCAGTTAGTCATGTTCTAGTGAGGTTTTGGAATTTGGAGCTCACAAAGGGTACATGATAGTATACAAAATGCCTTGACCCGCACCTCAGTGGCAAAGGAAGCGCCAGGATTGAGGCACAATGCTTGGTCTTAGTAGTGGATTTGCTTCTTGTGCATTTGCCCAAGCCGCTAGAGATCCTAAAAATGACTTCCGAGGCTGAGTCCACTGTGAGGGGCTTGATTCGTGCAGAACTGAAGTTTGCTTGGTGGATTGGGCTGGGCCAGTACTGAAAGCGCATCAGCTCATGCAACCCAGTACTCGATTGGTTGGATATGGGCCGTTTATATGATATCTCCCGATTTCCCAGTGGGTGCAAAGTAATACAACATCCCCATAACAACTGAACATTACAATCAGCATTCTTCCAGGTGATTTGAGAAGATTTTCTCTGCAAGAACCTGGTTCATGGAGCTAAGCCGCCTTTCCCATACCAAAACCGATCTTTAAACATCCCTAAATTTCCACACACCCTCCGTTCCGTGGATCTCCGATTTGGAGATGACGGCCCCTCCATTCCGACAAGTCCTTTTGTGCTGCTTCTTCGGTCGAAATCTTGGATCGCAAGGGTCGCTCCATGTTTCTCTGTCCCCGACAAACATGGACCCGCACACATCTTCTGCCTCCCTCTCTCTCTCTCTCTGTAGGCTTCAAGTGTCTCTACTGTATATATAGCACTCTCTGTCACTGGGATAGGCGGGCGATCTGGACATCCCTATTCAGGTGCAGTGACCCTGCTATATATATATATATGTATATACAGTATATATATATATATATATCATTGCCACTATCATTGCCCGGTTCATCCGGTTCTACCCTCTCTCGTCTTGCAAGCAACTCCTGGCGATCACTGCTTTTTGCACCGGGCCAGCCGGCCACACTCAACAAGGATGCGGTGTCGGATGCGGCGCAACTCCGACTCACAGCTCCAGCTTGGCAATGCGTGCTTTCAACGCCTTGGCCTCTAAGTACTTCTCATCTTTCAGCATGTCATCCTTCTTTTCCTTAAGTCGAGCAATCTCCTCCTTCTTCCTCAGTTGTGGCATAAACGGATTTGCACACATGTTGTACGTACTTGATGCTTGTCAGGCTATCAACAATAGCGCTGCTGCCGAAGAATGTGCACATCACTAAGGCAAAACTTATCAAACACATCAAAGGCCTATGGTGGAATTCTCTTCTTGGAACCCGTTAGATCGATCATGATAGATCCATTGGGAAGGTAAGTGGCCGCAACATGCCTCAACTGTCTCAAAGCTTGGTATTGAGGCTGGGGGGAAATGTAGCGCTTTTGCTACGTTAAGCGGTTTACCCTCCCTCCTACACTCACAGAAGTGGCAGGGAATTCTCCTCCAGCAACAGGGCTGACTGAGTGGACAAGCTTCAGCTCTTGCACTTTCTCTTTTAACTCTTCAGCCGCATCAAAGTCCTCCTCTGCCTTGGCAGCTTCCTTCTTACTCAACAGCTCCTGGCCGCTGTCCCTGGGAGTTTCTCACCTTGCGACAAAGGCATTTGCCTACAATAGTCTACAAGACCCTTGTGACACAACCGCCCTCCAAAACACAGCTTGCGGTGTGTGCCAAGAGTTCAGAGGGTGCAAAAGAACTTGCTGGCCAGATGTTGCCAAATAGGCCAATCTTTGGTGCAAGTGAGTCCACATGTCCGGAATCCTTCACAAACACACACACATGGGGCGATGACTTGGTATATATATATATATAGTAGGTACCCCCCCAAAAAAGACAAAGTCATATTTTATGGGTATTTACAATAAACATTGCATATTTTGGGCACCTTTTTTTTCCTAGTAAAAATTAACTGCAGTGAATACACATTGAACAACAACAAGAACAAAGAGTTTGTCTCAAGTCTCAACTCTGAACTCAAGTCTGAGTAATGTATGGATCCAAGATCCAAGATTTCCAGCACACTTTTCTTGGATCCAGCCCCCTGAAATCTTGGATCCAGATCCAAGATTTCCAGAAAACTCTTCTTGGATCCAGCCCAGAAATCGTTGGCAACTAGTCCAGAGATCAGACTACTTGACTAGTTGTGGAAACTTTTGTTTTTTTCACAAGAATTCAGATTGACTAGTACTTCCAGAGAAGTCTTGCTGTGAAGGTTCACGGTGTGTGTGTGTGTGTTTTTTTTTGGGGGGGGAGGTAGCATATATTAATATATATATACATTTGACTAAATTTGCATTGGGCATGTATCATCATTGATTCTGCAGCCGCTGGCCATAGCAAAGTAAAGGATGCACCTGAACAAAAACACCTGATCCAAGTTCAAGTGGGGCAATGCCTGGGGGTGGAAATGTTCCATGGCCGTAAGGTCTGGGTCATTTGCATCCCAAAGCCTGTCCTTGAGCTGTTTGTCAAAAGCCACGCTCTCTTCATCCTCATCGGTGCTTCCATCTGCCCCTTCAACCACTGTAGCATCGGGCTCTTTGCCCTTGGGATCTTTTGGTGCATCGAAGGGCGTTTTCGGCTTCTCTTTGATCTTCACGGCCTGGCAGCGGAATCGACGATGGCTGGATCCAGCTTTTCGGCCTTTGTGCTGGTAGAGGTCCATGTCTAGCCTCAAGCCTGCCTGTCAGAGTTTGCTCATATGAGGAACGGTCCCACACACGTCTTGTCAGGTCCGCCGGTCCCCGCCCTCAACTTGCGCCTTGTCTTTGTACTTGGTGGCTAAGGCCAGGAACATGGACGCTTCCTTGCCTTTCCATTTTTTCCACACTTCCTCCACATCTTTGATCTCACCTGGTGATCGAATGACAATCACAACAGAAATCACGTCAGCCGAAATGGCAATGACATCAGATGACGCAACATCCAAGGCTTTAAGAACCCATTGATTCAAGCTCCGGCATCCGGTCAAGATTGGGTAGTCTTGTTGCTGCAGTCCCCAACAAATATCCAATAACAAGGCACACGGTGGGATAAGATACATCCAAACAAATTCGAAGACAGGCTGGGTCCATGTCTTGCGTTCTTGTCTTGTTTATTTATTGCTTGTTTAGAATGCATCCAAAGCATTTTGCTCAGGGTCCATGTGCCCATTCGACGGCGTCGGTTTGGGTGTTTCATGCGTGACAAGACCATACAAGACCAAAACGGGTCGGAGTACTATCTTTATCAATTCCAATGAGAGCAGTAAACTGGCACTGATGCATCGTTCGAATTGCCCACCTTTCTCGTCCAGCTTTTCTGGGTTAAAACGCTTGTAGAAGGCCTTTAGCTTCTTCTCATTGGCATCTTTTACCTCTGAAGTCGGCAAGCACTGGCAAACCTGAGAAAAAGCATGAAGCCAAGCATTCAATATGAAGCCAAGCTATATATCAAAGGCACTGGACATCACTAGAAGCACGTGTTCAGTTTTACATCTCTATCCGCGTCCGGGCAAAACCACCCGATAATGTTTATATTGTTTGAACGTCCCGTAGTCGGAGAGAAGTGTTTACCAAAGCATGCTAAAGCCTGAAACCGCAAATCATACCACTCAAAAGCATTTACAGTAACTACTTGAGTCCTGAGAAACTGCCTCCTGTGCCTTGTTGTAGCCTCGGCACTTGGATTCCTGAGTCTTTTGCGGGAGCCACCAAACCACAGTGACACTGCTGGATGAAATCTCTGCAGCTTGTAAGGTTGGTCTTTTTACTCTTGCCCTAGGGTCCTAGGTCCATCCAAAGATTGGTCTCTCGGTCCTTTCATGGAAAGAGGGGATGTCTGGGGATGTCTGCATCATGGAAAGAAAGAGAAGCTGCATCGAAGCAACGTCAGGTGTGGGGCCTGAGAGTTGTTTTCAGATGATATGACTGTCCACCACTCTGTCCACCTATACTAAAAGTTAGCAGCTATCTACCATCACAGGGTGGGGGCAGCTATCTACCGTCCAAGAATCCAAGGGGTCATATTTATCTTTATCACTCGATGGGTCGTACTTCTCCTCATCGTAAGGGTCGCCCGTGAAGTCCGCCACCATGGCCTGCAACTGGCAATTCTGATCGCCTTTGCACACCTTTTGCTGACACTTCCTCGGTAATGCAAGTGTAGCCGCCCCAAATACAAACAGCGCCACTGCCCCAAAGACAAACACATCAAACATACCTTTTGTATATATATGTACGTGTATGTATGGGTATATATATGTATTAATGTATATATGTATACGTCACTGTATACATCTACATAGTGTACGTAATTACACGTACACTACCACTGAATGATTTGTCACCTCCTTCGAGAAAAGAGGCCAGCAGCAATGAGTCTATTTGAGACCCCACAGCGAGTTTCACCAAGGAAAGGTCCTTTCTTCTTTCAATGAACATTTCATCAAGCGGAGCCAAGTGTCTGATATGAATCATGGCACTCCTTTGAAGTCATGCCGCAGGTTTGCTTGCAAATATCTCGTTCCAAACAGCATTTGTTCAGGTTTTTGCCAAGCTGATTCATGCTGGCATATGGATTCGAAGGGTCGAAGTCCTTCATGCTGAGCACGTTCAAGCCGGCTTCCTTGCACCCATAGCTGACGATGTCCACATCCTCCCTACCCACAGCTTGCTGTCCAGAGGGGCACTGAAATGCCTTACAAACAGGAGCGGGCGGTGTGTAGCCGCCAAACTGTGCTGCCGCTGTCCAGAGAAGAAAAGCCCAGCGCACCATGGGGCCGGAGAAGGAAGCGGCGCTTCGGTGATGTTGGAAGGGGACTCAAAAGGTGGAGAAAGCCAACAGCTGAAAAAGAACATGCTGAAACGGAGGCCGAAAGAAGGGTCTTTTCAAGCATCTGACTCCGCATTTTTCACTTTGGCCAGGATTTGTGGAAGAGCAGGAGTCAACTGTGCAAGGCTGCTGGAAATGAGTGGAACTCTCAAGTGCCCTGGAAAGCAAGAATAGACAATAGCCAACCAACCATAGCAAAGAGTTACCTGGACATGGTTCATCTTGCTTCAGGAGCTTAAGATATCAAGATGGATCAAGATTCTGCAACTTGCTGAACGACACTTATATAATGATAATGCTGCATGACGCCATGTTGCAAAGCATGCTTGAAGCCGTCAGGACACGACCACGAATATGTTTTTTGTATAATAAGTTCCTTCCAAAGGAATTCTGGAGCAGGTTGTTTGGAACAATGCGAAGGACCACAGGAATCCTGGAGTCAATAACAATAACATGGTAATTGGCCCACTCTTGCCCTTTGGGCAAAACAATGCAACACATGTTTGTAGTACCTTAGGTAATGGAATGAAACATGCTGGAGTCCCCACACTTGACCTCATGCCGGCCGTTGACTCATTGATCAAGGCACCGGATGATCCAACCCATGTCCATGATCGGATCAGGCTGCACCCCGGTCAGTGGGGTGTCGCCATTCGCGAGCCTGTTAGCCTTGAAACAAACACCAACCGGTCTCGCCCACTCCGACCGTCGCGCATGTCACCGCCTGCGCCACGCCACGCCACGCCGCCTTCGCCACGAATTTCGCGGGGGCGCCTCACGGTCGGATTGCAGGGCCTTTTCGGCATCACCCAAGGAGAGGCCATGTTGTTTCACCGCCGCAAGGACCAACTCCTGGAGCTCAGGGCCCGAGGCCTTTGGGCCAGAAGCCAAGTGAATACTCCAGGTAGCCACTGGATTGGTGTTCAAACGGCAAGCAAGAGTTATACCTGCAAGTTGTACTGTATAATACTTTTAGTAACTGCATATCAAACAACATGTATTTGTTGTGCCGGTCTCATCCTTTTCCCAGCTCTGTTGGTTTGCAGTCCGCTTCACCGTGTCCCTTCTCCTTGTCGCCGCGCAAACCGGTGGCCGCGAACTCCAAGTTGCAAAGCCCCGCGGAGAGCGCGGACCTCAGCCGCGAACGGGACGGGACACGTTGCGCGGTCACCAAGTGCCGGCGTGTGCCCACATCCCAAACATTGCATGGGACATACATATGCTGCATATGCTGTACATTGACCTTGGATCAACCTCCCCAATGTGGGTGAATGAATGCACCTTCCTAAATGGAATACTCAACCGGGGCTGCGAGTATCCCATAAACTCGAAGACCTTCCTCCCGAATCAGATGTTGTTTTCGGGTCTTTCGACCCGAGGTGAAGTTTAAGGCGAACATCTTTGAGAACATTATACATTGGGTCTATCCTATTAGCTGGGCCCAGTGGATGATGATGGTTAGGTTGTAGGCCTTGTCCAAAAAGTAGGGAAGACATTTGCTTGTTTACGGGTCCTGTTACAGGTAATAGGACAGACCCAGATTACTATATACATGGTCTGTTGGTCCTTTTTTTGGTGCAGGTGGTGCTGATGCAATCATACTAGCACGCGTGCCACACAAAATGTTCAAAACATGCAATCTTACGCATATATATATATATATCTGCATTCTATAGCTGTATAGACCACTCCATGTCTCTATGTTTCTCACGGTGACAAGGCAGAATAGTGGCCTAGCACGCACTCAAACAAACACACACCAGACTCACTAGGTCACATCCTCTCACAGAACTAGGTCCGAGTGGCAAGAGGAAAGCTCGATCCTTTCGCAATCCGTGGTCGATAAATAAGATGGCGCCCCATGCCTCAAAGCCCTCCCACTCTGTCGCTCTCTATGCTTTTCTTTCTTTGAATCAAATGTGCCTCCCTTCCTTCCTTCCTGAAATAATCACCCCAGGGAAGACCATGTGCCTCTACAAACATCTACAAACATTGCTTCCATGTTCGTTAGAGGGAGGGTACCCCCCCCAATCAAAAAACCTACACCTTCACCTTACACACCACACCTGGGCCATGGCCGCCAATGCAATCTGGTGATCGCCGCGAGCACTCGGGGAGGCGAATTGCAACGCTGCCCAATCCTGAGACGGAGAACTCCAAACAGACCCACCAGTCACCAGAACAACATCCGGCCCCCAAGTCTTAGCAAACAAACACATAGACCCTTATGGGGGACTTGGATGGTGGCCCCATGGATCAAAGTGAGAATGGCCAAGTGTAGTGTGTAACTTTGTGCATCTGAGCATGTTTCAGGCCATTTACATGTTTCTGGAGTCGGACTTCCTAACATCACCGCGGGTCCCACCGGCTGCTTCAGGAAAAAACTTTTTGAAACAGCCGCCCACCCTTTAGATCCCTTTAGTGCAAACAACTCCCGTGACATCTCCTGTTGCACTGCTGCCAGGACAATGCGCCGATTGCTCTTCAGCGATCCATCCGCAAATTGCAGCGCACGCCAATCGTTTTCTGTGGCAGCCAAGACGATCCTCGATTTTGGGGCCAGGGACATTTAAACAGCCTTTAGTTGAACAAAAACCTTGACCGGGATTCGCCCATGCTGTTATTTAACTGGGTCTGTCCAAACATACTTGGACCATTCAACGCCCGGTGCCCAACGATACTGTACATCACCATGGTGGGTGCGGGTGCATCGCAAAAGCAACAAAATACATTAAAAAACAACACCACAATCACCCACATATCCAAACATGAAGAATAATCAAGGACTGGGACTTCACACAGGAGCGGGATGTCTCCCATTCATCAACAGCAAATGCATATACAGTAGAACACACGTGCTTTGCTCCCAGCCCAACCCTGAGCAACAGGCCCCCGTGTGTCATGTGGGCGTGGAGGCCCTGATTTTGCGACCACATGCCCTTCCACGGCTGAAGACTGAAGAACAACCCCAAACACTATATGTATGGAAGGTAATCAGGGCGGTTTCAGGGGTCAATTTAGGCACGTGTCTTGAATTTCAGGCATCTGATATAACATCTGAATACATCTGATATAACCACCCAAACGCGCACTTCGGGTCGATCTCCGAGCGTGTTCAGTGTGTTCAGTCTCCCAGCGTCTCTGGATCAGCTTGCAATTGGGCCGTTGCATGCTCCAAACTGCATCCTGCGATCGGCTCGCTGGTGCGAACGGCTCGCTGGTGCGAACGTGGCTGACATCCAGTAGCCGGCCCCCCTCAGGGATTGCGACCTTGGGTTTCTCTCAGGTGGGACTCTTTGGTTTCTGAGGTGGATGAGGAGGGCGACCAGGAACATGACAGTTCTTGGTCCTGCCACGGAGACAGCAGCCATCACAATCTCTCGATCATCTTTCACGTGCCGAGGCGCATCCTGGAAGAGCACGTGGCCCGCAGGAGTCTTGAGAAAGATCATATAACAGATTACAGTATAACAGAATTGTATGGGATGTCAACCCGCCATGGCTTCAGGATGCTTCAGGGTTGTTAGTTAGGTGTGACATGTGGTGACCAAGTTCCAACTAAGTGCAATCTATCGGAATCGCTTGGCTCGGCTTGGCATGTTTATCTGCATGTTTTTGCCATGAGTGGATGACACACATTATATACATGGATGGAAACCGACCACGAGCATAATTACACTGACCCGCGAGCGTTGTGTGTGTACAGGGCCGTGCAGGGCACGGAGTCATCCCAAAAGCGAAAGCGACTGAAGACCTTCTGTGTGAAAGTCGTGGAGCTCCCGTGATGGTCATCATCTGAGCTTAGCCACCGCTCGGTGGTTCTTGAGAGGAGCATGTTCTGTTCAGAACAAGTGCCAGTGCTCACCAGGCAGCCCTTCTGAACCCACTTCTTCAAGCCTTCAACTTCTCCACCATGCCCTGCTGCATTTGCTTGCGCCACTCCGCTTGTTCGGCTGGCCGCTTGATGAGCGTGAGGTCCAAACAAGACCTGGCCAACCAGAAATTGATAGAAATTGTCAGACTCACGATGCACATGGATGCGCTTCCCCAAATCAACTTCTTGCCCGCCCCATTCAATTGCTTTCCTGTCGATGATGCTCCTGCGTCCGGTGGCCAACAACAACCCCCCCCCCAAAAAAAAAAATAAAAAACACAGAAATCCGGCTAGCTTTTGATGGTTTCTGGGTCCAGCAGCTGGGCGAAGTCTCAACGCCCCAAACACGGCTGCCAGCGGCTCGCCGCTTCGAGCCTCGTTGGAAGAGCGTCTCCATCTCGCAGCTCCCGATCGCCCAGCAGAAGTCTTTGCTGCTCCACGGGCACCTGAAGCTTCTCAAACAACTCCTGCGGGGAGCGACCTGCCGGCCCCACCAAAGAAACATGGGGTGGAGTGGAGGAATCAACGATGCAGCTGTATGCTTTTGGAGGGCAAGGTCTTCAATATCTTCCATAGACTCGGAAGAGAGGGATGGCCTTAAATCCTTTCAAGAGCTTACAAAGACTGCAAATTTAAACTAATGTTGACCTCGCCTGGCACAGAATATCATCTTCCAAATCCTTCTGATAGCTGATAGCTCAAACTAACTTATGACGAGTATACCATATCGTCATGTATGTTTTGGGATATTCCCCGGCCAGTAACAGTGACCACAACTCGACACCACAAAACTAGCACCAGAAAATAAGCCCTGCAAGCCTTATCATGTGATCAAAAAAGCTTATACACTCTCAACTGCTTTCCTATCTATCTATCTATCTGTCTCTCTATCTGTCTGTCTGTCTGTCTGCCTGCCTGCCTGCCTGCCTGGCTGGCTGGCTGGCTGTCTGTCTGTCTATCTATCCTCTTATCTGTCTGTCGGTCCTTGTCACTATTTTGTTTATCTAGCTATCGGCAAGAATTTATCAGTTTTCACTGTCGCGGTCCCGTGCGTTTGTTTGGAGGGTATTTGAATATGGACAAGAACATATGTTTGGGTTACCTTCTTGGGCTGATGGCATCCTCCCTTTTGACCTGGGGGGAATGGGGGCGGGTGGGCTCGCAATCAAAACAAAACTTTTTCGTTCGGCGTGGCAGCCGGCTACCTGTCATCGGGGCTGGGCCTCGGTGGGGCTGGCTGGCTACCTGGTCCTCCCCAATAAAACAAAATGTTCAAATGTTTGTTTTTGAAATCTGGTGCTCATTTTCGTCAAATCTGGTGCTCGATTTGTGCTCCCTGGTTGTGGTCTCTGGTGCCTTGGCTGGGGAATTACAAGGACAGGCAGGCCAACATTGCTTTAGGGCCTTGGGTGTTCACACGGATTTAGGCTTTAGGGTTTTAGGGTTACACTGACAGTGAGCACAAACAAAACCACAAAAAAACGCACAACAGAGAATTCAAAAATCATTGTTTTTTGAATCTGGAAGCTGATCCAAGCACAAATTCCCAAACTCCCCTGACAGAACCAAGGCATTCTTTCTAGGAAGCTGGATTCAGTGTCTTTGTTCACTGGGCATCCTCAGCCAGCCAGTCTCACACACACAGTGTCACATATAGAGGTTTTCATTTTCGGTTCTTCAACACCTTGATTGGCTGGGCTTCTATGGATGTCGCTGGCTGTTTGGCTGGCTGGGCTGCCTGGCTGGGCTGGCTGCCTGGAGGACGGCCCTGCCTTACAAAAGTAAATGTAAACGGGTGCCCATAGCCCACCAGAACAAGCACAACTGCCAGGTCATTTTGTCCAGGCAAAACAACCTGAACCCGCAGTTGTGGTATTTTTTGTGCTTTTTGTTGTGTTTTTTGTGTGCTATGTTGTCCTCGGAGTTGTGTTTTCGGAGTTGTGTTTTTTTTTGTGCTTTTGGTTGTGTTTTTTTTGTGCTATGTTGTCCTCGGAGTTGTGGGTTTTCTTGTGTTTTTTTTGTGCTATGTTGTCCTCGGAGTTGTGGTTTTTTTTGTGCTTTCGGTTGTGTTTTTTTTTGTGCTATGTTGTCCTCGGAGTTGTGGGTTTTCTTGTGCTTTTTTTGTGCTATGTTGTCCTCGGAGTTGTGGTTTTTTTTGTGCTTTTGGTTGTGCTTTTTTTTGTGATATGTTGTCCTCGGAGTTGTGGGTTTTCTTGCGCTTTTTTTTGTGATATGTTGTCCTCGGAGTTGTGGTTTTTTTGTGCTTTTGGTTGTGCCTTTTTTTTGTGCTATGTTGTCCTCGGAGTTGTGTTTTTTTTTGTGCTTTTTGTTGTGCCTTTTTTTGTGCTATGTTGCCCT